TGCAAACAGCTGTAAAGACATTTGTATATTGCATGCAAGGATCCAAGTACGACCAATCTCCTTTGTTTCCAATGATGATAGGATACAAGCGGCCATCACTGCCCAGGTCCAACCCATTCGCTTCTAGGTGCGCAAAGTCTGATACCACCAGTTCAAACAACGCATTCCATATGCGAGGATCATCTTTGTAATGGTCCTTCGGATTTTGTATCGACACATGGGTGGAAAGAACAGTTTGCCCACACATCAACTATATTTGGATCAAATGTATATATTAAATACCATCTAATGGTAGACGAGACCCTAACAGGACAAACATCCTTTATAACAATTAACTCATTCTATAAAACGTCACCTGCTTTCTCCAAACCATGCCTTCGGACACACAACCATCAGCATCCGAGTGTACATACCACTCTTGAGGAAATTGAGGGGCAACCCTGACTCTTGAAGGTTCTGTAGGTTCAAAGATAACACCTTCTCCCGCTTCGACGTCCCCCACCCCAAGGGGCTTTGGAAGCTCAAGATCAGGACCCCTCCGCGTTTGTAAGTGACACCTTCATCGCCGTGCAGGTATAGCGGCACACATTCGTGAAACGCTTTGTCTCCACGATCCACTTGTTCAAACAACTGGAAGCCAGGGCAAACCTTTCGGTAGCGGTTCCAAAAGGTGTGGAGGATCTCTCTCGCATCGAATAGACTGGCACACCCTGCCAAAATGTGTCCCAAGTCTCCAAACTGATGCATAGTTCTCAGGAAGTCTCGGGGTCTAAGCCAGGGGAACCCCTGGAGCGGTGCCCTGTCTGCTTCAGTGATTGGCACTGGATAGAACAAGTTGTTGAGCCGGAATACGCGTTCCACTTCTTGTTCCTTTGTCTGCAATGGTCTTTGGTTGGAAAGGTCCCAAAATCAGTTTTAAAAGAACACTTTAAATTAATGACGAACACTGACCCTTTGACCCTGGCTTATACTGGCAAAGGTGACACTATAAGGGTTTACAACACTTTGTGGGTGACACCATACGGCAGTTCCCAAAATCAGTGCAACATATTGCCGAAATAGATGTTGAAGAGTGGCGGACTTCTTGGGGCTAGCGTTGCGAAGAGCAGTGAGGACGGGGCACAGGTCCTGCTGCCCACCACGTTCACAAACATCTTTCCACTCAGCCTTTGCAAATGCTATAATCTCCCGGCAAGGTTCCTTGGTACTGGTTCGGTTGATGGGTTTTTACAGCATGCACTGCGTGTGGACCTGTTGGCTCTACCATGAGCAGAGCATATAGTCAACATATATTGCAAACTATATGTCAAACTATAGTGCATTAGAAGCAATAAACATATATGAATATAAACGACCATGCATGAATATAGTGTCCCAAAGTATGGACGACGCAACCAGCCCACTGGCCCACGAGAGCCAAGCTTCGCCTTTTCCATATCGCCATGCCAATTGGCGAGCTTTGTGTGAGGGACCTGGCATGGTGCACGGTCCAGAGATGGGGATTGGGACCAGGGAATCCAATATAGTTCAACAGGTTCCCTTGCAACACGAGGGCGGTGACGAAGGGCTCAAGTAGCTTCAATCAAGAAGCACAGAGACTGCGGGCAACATCCAAGCGAGCACTTTTCTTCCCACACTGCAGTGGTGAGCACCACTGTTTGTAGATTGTAGATGGAATTGTTGAAGCCTCCCTCCGCTCTAAGCATCCCAGGACTAATGCCAAAGGTGCACGCGAAAGGTTCCTGCGAAATCTCAAATAGTCAGCGCATGTGGATTCCTCACACGCTGAATCCCCCAAAATTATCAGAGAGACCTTGCAACCAAAGAAATTGCACAAACCATGATTTTGCCAACCAAGATTGTTTTGCTTGACCAGAGGACCCCTGTACACAACCATTGATTGGACAGACCCGTGAAAAAATTCAAGCTGGTCTCCCATGGAAACTCACTGCTTAGGCCCTTGTGCGCTTTGCCCTTTTGGGTGCCTTTTCACCCACGGGCACAGATTCTGCAGGCGCCTCTGCAGCAGTTTCATCCCCTTTGACCTTTTTGGACTTTGTCCGAGAGGCCTTTGCCTTTTGGGACTTAGGCTCCCGTTTGGGTGCACCTTTGGTCTTGCCCTTCTTGTTCTTGGGGGACTTTGCTTTCCCTCCCTTGGGCGGCTTGCGTTTGCTACCCTTCTCAGACTTTGCGTCCTTGGTATTCTTGAGCAAAGACCTTGGCAAGGGTCAGAATGCATATATAGGCACCATGACCACTTGAAAACAATGTGGTGCATACTCACATTGCCCACTGAAGACAAAACAGATTAGGCATCCAGCTTTTGTTGAGTCTCAAGGGAAATCCATTCGGTGCACCTGAATTGCGAGGCATGTGAGGGGGTGGAAAGATGTTCGATTCAAAGAACGAACGTATTTCTGATTGCCCAAGTGTATAAGCGGAATGGTTTGAGAGACAAGGCTCAAAGATCGCACAGTGTTCTTTTCATCCGTGATCTCTTTCAACAGCCTAAGCTCCATGTGTCAAAGTTAGCCCCAAACACATCACAAATATATGAGTGCACTTGTAGACGAACCCACGCCGCCAATCACCACAACAATCACTCCGTGTTTTTTGAAGCATGGCCCACCCCAGTCCCCAAACATCACAACTGCTCATAGACCAGCATTGCTGGGTCTTTGAAAAGATCTAAAGACCATGTACACCATGTACGGCCCAGGCAGAGATTGATCAATGGTTTCTCCGCCATCCTTTTCATTGCGGCAGCCTGAGCTTCCTGAGTCGACAAGGCCCTCATTCCCAATAAAGTGGTGCCATAAAAGACATTGGAGGACTGCAAAAAAAAGATACAATTCATTCACCATGCTCAAATCAAGTGTCCTTTGTGCCTTTGGATCAGAGACGCTTCTACAAATCCAGGGGAGATGGGCTCGGCAGAAATGTAAAGAAGTTTCATGTGCTCCCACTGGCAATGCTTCTCGTAGAAATACCCCCATTTCTGGTTGTAGAACCGATTGAACAAGCAGTGACAATATCCAAACTTGTAGATCAAAGGGTAAAACTTCTCTAGGACACTATCGACTACTGCGTAGCAGTGCTTGAGAACAGCACCAGCCAAAGCATTCTTCCGAGGAAGGTTGTAGCTGAATCTTGGGTCCCCCTCAATGCTCTCAAATACGGTTGATGTGCGTTCCAGAGATGAGACCTCATCATTCAAGGACTCCTGCCAGATCCGCCTCTTCTTTGTCGAGGCCATGGAAGCAGAAGTCAAAGCAGGGCCTGCAGCATTGAGGCTGTACAGCAACAGAAATGGTAAAGGTTGGGGAAGCTGGAATGCGTCAAACCCGCAACAAGGAATCTTATACTGATACTTTTACACTAATGTGTTAGAAGGGCATTTGCCGCGGCTCAACAAAGGGCACCCCTACATGATCCACATGAACTTTGAGGCCAGCATGCATGGCCACACATCAAGGAAAAAGGGTGTGCATTTGGTGACTCCCGAACCTGCCTGGAACAATGGCCTTTTTCTTGGAAGGTTCTTCTTGTTGGATCACCTGGCCCGGGATCCGAGTGCTGACTGGGAGGAGGAGGAAAGGTCAAAATAGAATCAGAATTAAGCGAGATGGTCCGGTGCAAAAGCCATATCTGACTTGTTTTCTTTCATGCGAGTTTGCTGGACCAACAGATTCACAAGTCAAGGCCACCCATCAAGCCTGCTTGGAATTGCGATTGTAGTCAATGAGCTCTTGAAGCCACTCAAGGCTGTCGTCAGCCGCTTCAGCACGTCCATTGGCGCTGCACTCCACGCACCCATGGGTCATTGAGGGGATGCATGGGGCCTTTAATCAGAGAACATGATACCACAAGAGATGTTTCCTGCCAATCCCAAAAAATGAGTTGTCAAACCTTGTGCTTCATGATTCTTTTGAAGTATCACACTTGTCCCCTTTTTGTGATTCAACTTGGGTATATACAAAGCGGCTCAAAACGTTGAAGGTAAACAAACCACTCCCTGGTTATACACCACTGGATCCAAGAAGCTCTGTCAGCCGGTCACATTTCAAGGTGCCACCTTTGAGGTCCATCTTCATCTCGGTCACGAAGGCTCCGAACTTCTTGAAGGACTCTTGCATCTTGTCCTTCGTGTCGTTCAGGCTAGTGCACAACCTGGGAAAATCTCGAGCAGCGCATGTATACGGCGGTATATATCACCAGAGGTGTGTCATTTCTAGGATCTTCATCCAACTGATGAGACTCATGGCAATATCATATATATATATAGTTGCGAACTTCAAGGAAAAGCTGGCGTTGCAAAAGAACTCAAAAGGTCATTTGGCTGGGAAGGAAACGTCTTACAGCTCGAATCACTGACTTTGGCTTTCAAGTCCTTGATGGCTTTGGTGATGGCAGTGATCTTGGACGTCATTGTGTCCATGTAGCGCTCGAGCTCCGGCACAGGCTGGCGGTGGCGAAGCAAGAAATTGGTCGAGGCAGGGCTGGGATAACGAAAGAATCACCCTTCACTCATCAGCAACGTGTGTGGGTTAATACCCGACGAAGCGTGCGTACGAAGTGAATACACAGGTTAAAGCACATGCAGGCCTTGTCACCAACCAATTCAGGATTAGGTATCCCAGTGGGCAAAGCAAGAGAATCTCCAAGATCCTTTGGGAGGGTCTCAGGATCTTCATCCCCAACTTTGGCCTGAGTGGTCGGCAATCAGGTGTGTGAAACCATGCTGACGCATACAGATCAGGGTCCATTGTCCAGAAAAAACGCTGGCGGGTAACTTCCTTGTCAGTGGTTTCCGTGACAGTCTGACGCTCAGCGAGCTTCTCTGTCTTCTTGTCTTCCATGATCACAAAGTACTCATAGATTGATTCATTATACCGCCAGCACCTGGATGGGACACATCAGTGAGTCACACGAGCCTTTACAGTGCATACAGAATGAGCATATATTGAGTCTGTGTGCGTGCGCAAGTGTATATATACACATTACGAGAGCCAATTTTGCCATGGTATGCACCCTGACCTCTTGTGTGTCTCAGGGAACTTGTCGCAGAAGGCCTTGATATCCTTAATGCTCTTGGCACTAAGGTTCAGGTCCTTGTCCTTGCGCATTCTCTCTTCCGTCATCCATCGCCCCCATGTCTCCTTGGACTTCTCGGAAAGGCGTTCCTTTAGAACTTGAACGCGGGTGATGAACTCTTTCTGCAGGGCAGGCGATCATCAAACATGTACTGTGCACATGTACTTTAAACCAAAATCAGCTTGCAGGTTACTGTAAATTCTTTAGATTATCATATATTCCCCCAAACGTGTGCCTTCACTTTCTTGTAGGCTTGACGAAGCACTCCATACTTTGCTAAAGCATCCAGGAGCGCTAGCTCTACGATCTCACGTGATTCACCCCCATTGACATAGTCCTCCCTGATTTCATTCGGCACATGGCACTTCCCTGACACCTTCTTCTCACACAACCTCCGGCACCTCATCCGCAAAGCGTCCGTGCTAATAGGAACCTTGGATTCCAAGATGCATTGCAAGCGGTTTGCGCCTGTAACATCCTGTAACCTCAAAACATTGACCATCGTCCTTGCATGTTCTCAAAAAATATACACAGGGCCATGTTCATCTCGAAAAGATTAAGGAACATATATGCATCAGTCATGCAAGTCACAGTGTTCCCAGATGCAGTCACAATGTACTTGTCAGGGTCATCCTCTGAATGCTCATCAGACTGTTCAGGTTCAGAGGCTTTCCCCTGAGGCGCCCTGGTTTTTGCCGCCATTTCTTTCTCAAGAAGCTGTACACGTTCCAATGCAGCACCAAGTCTCGCTTCCAACTGAGGGTCTGAAGCCGGAGGTGGCGTTGGTGGCTGACCGGTTTTGTCACACAATCTGGTCTCAAGGGCCTGAATCTTGTTCAGGAAAACTTCCTGTTGGGCAGCTTGCTGTTCGTTAACCTGAGGTCTAAAAAGGCGATCTATTCACATGGGAACTGCATGGGAGTATAATGCAGCATCAGCACAAACACACGCGCGTGATACATGTCCGGTACATAGAATGCTGACCGAGTCTTTGATGCAACAGACAGTTCATCGATGCACACCCGAAACAAATACTCAACCTTTGAGCAGGCTACCAAGCCAACGCACACACCATGATGAACCAGGGAACCATCTTTAGGATCATCGAAAGCTGTTCATTACCAAGTTGGCCCTGTTGCGAAATAGCATGCGAAGCTGGTGCACCATTTGGAGTTGGAGCGGGGCTAGTCCTTCTGGCTGTGGCCTTCGAAAAAGCTGCACCCTGGCCGGCTAAGTCCTAAGCTGCTCATGGCCTCATGAAACCACAAGAGTAGATGTCATGTTTCAAAGTTGCCTGGTTCAATCATCTATACTACTATACATGGGCACTAGGTGCAAGCCAGGAATCACCTGGAACGGTGTCGGCTTCAGTCAATGATGACGGAAGCTTGCGGACGCTCGCCCCACCATTCAAGGGCTTAGTTGCACATGAACCAAGAGAGGTCA